AGATCATCAAAACAGGCTAGATGTTTAATGAACTATTAAAACAAAAGGATCTTCTCCAAAGAGTTTATCTTCTACTACCTCCAAGCAAAGAGGTAGGGAAGTCATTTCTGTATATGGATTGAAAAAGAAGAAAAGGAAAAAAACAAAAAACCAAAAAACATAAGTGATCTACTCATCTTAAATGAAGAAGAGGAAGGATAAATGAGGTTATCAGATGAAATACATTCCAGCTACTTGGAATATGACCTAACACTAAGGATCCATCTCTTTCAAGAGCATTTGCCATTAGATGAATATGACTGTTGATATCACAGTGAAAATGCTTAGCTTACTAACATCAGTGTTTACACACAGAGGTTTGTAACAGCAAGCAGCAAGTTACACTACTTTACCATAGCACGTGCTATAAAAGTTCAATATTGAACAATCTACATCCCATCAAAAATCATGAGTCATGAACGTCCTCTAGTCACACTGCTCTTCAAAGTGGGAGGCATGGAACAGGTTGCCAGCAACTCTAAGAGCAGAGAGAAAGCAATGATTTGTACACACACACATGCATACACAATCTCAGTCTAAATAATTTTCCTATATCCATCTTGTGAAAAACAGTGCAATTACACAAACAGTCACGCAAATCAAGTTTTAACAAGCTCAAAAAAGAAAAAAAGAAGAAAAAAAAACTCCAGCTAGCTGAATCAATACAAATGTCAAATTAAATCAAAAGTGATAGGGCTCTGACTCACGTTTACAGAGAAAAGAGCTGCGCTGCTTCAGCCCTTCCAGCATCCAGCCATCTGCTCCAACCCTCTTACCGAGCTACTGACCCTGCAACTGAGTTGACAGAAGAAAACATGACTCTGCCTGTGCCAGTTCGGTTCGGTCAGCATCTTCACTTATATCCAGCTTTTATCAGTAGTTTCATTTGCCAGACTGAAGTGCTCAAGTGCAGACATTTTCCCTCCTGCTACCTGTGCAGTCAACTCCAAGAAGGAGCAGACCTGTCAGTGAGCAGTGGATGGTAAAAAAGAGCAGCAAAGCACCCGAGCCCCTCTCTCCCAGCGCTGGAACTCACCAGGCTTGTGCATTCTTACAAGACTTGCCACTAAACAACAGTATGTCTGGTTTACATGTCCTAATGTGTTAAATACGCCATTAGGCTTCCATTTTGCTTTCCAGTAACCTACAAAAACAGTAGACTAAACGAATGTAGGTATAAAGGGTTCTCTTCTCTGTTAGGTATGCATACCCAGCTGATTAAAAGCACCAAGGATCAACTGCCTTAAATTTGCCTCTCTTTATTGCACCAGTAAAGAACTTTAGAGATATGTAAATACAGTGGTTGCACTGGCTAGGTAGATTAGTAAGATCTGCCCTTTGGTTATTGATGCTATCTTTGTTCTGAGGAAAGAATCTGTTTTCCAAGTTTGTTGTGCAGATGCTTTTACATGAGCACCAAATAATTTAAAAAAAATACACAGGTCTATGTAGTGGGGCAAAGTAAGAAAAAAAAAGAAAAAGGATGTCCAACAGAAGGCCAGATTTGCCAAGAAAAAAAAAAACAGCTAAACACGATGAAATTAGACTTAGGACTTATACTTCCAAGATACAATAACACACCCAAATCTTTAGAGACAAATGCTGCCTAATTTAAAAATTACATCTATTTCAAAATGCTCAAAGAATATCTCTAAGCACAATTATCAAAAGTCCATCTTGGGGTCTGAAAGTACTTGGAATATATCATACTATACTTTAGACTAGTCACAGAAATAAAACTCTGTTATTTGCATTTCCTTCCATTGGGAGGGAAGGGAAGCAGGCAAATATACATATTTCAACTGCCTGAAAACTTGAGTTGTTTTTTTTTTTTAAACAAGTTCTGCCTTACCTCTTCTAAAATGAAAAAGAAGAGTGAAATGATGAAGTAGTAGTGATATATTTGGGGAAGATGAGAGAGAAAAGTCAGCAGAGAAAAAGAATAAAAACAGGAGCTAGTAGGGGCATGAGAAATTATATAAACATAAATATGAAAAAACAAAGATTAGAAAGCCATGGTTCAATGTTAAAAGCTATACAGGTCGAGATGTATTATATAAGTTTGTTTTGGAGAACCAGTTTTGAGTCAGGGAAACTTACTTCTCCCCTGGAGAAGATTCCAAAGCACAAGAGAGAGAGCTGCAGATGAACAGGTGTCAGAAGAAAATAAAGGACAGGAAAGGGGAGGAAAAAAAATGTACGTAAAAAGAACAAATGAAGTCAAAAGGATACAGAAAAAGCGTCTGTTAGGATGATGCTTTCTCAAGAATTAGCTGTCAAAGCTCTTTCTTTCCTACTCCGCCTCTTTACTACCTGCAACTGGGAAACGACTTGGAATATTTGTATCTATTTTCCAGTTTCCAAAACCCAAGTGAACAAAACCATTTCTTTCAACCTTAGCGAAAAGACCAAACAATTCCAAAACCAGAAAGGATATCTTTCTTTTCAGTGGCAGTTTAACCTTACAGTTTAGATAAAGCATATACCAGTTTAAAATGTGTCTTGGGCCCTTGGGTACATGAAGGACTGCAACACACCTCTACCATATTCTGTGAATCGCTGGTTTATGAGTAGTTTCACAATCAAATCAGTCAAATAATAAAAATGACATTCTAACAACTTAAAGACATTCTTGACTGATCAATAAATAGCAACCTCAGACTACTAAGTGACACAATTAGAAACTGCCTCAAAGTAGCACTTTTTGATCAAGAAGACACTCTCCTTCTGTCTTCATTAATGTTATCAACCTCTTGTGGTGTTTACAGACTCACTGAATACCATTCTCAGAATCTAATCCTTTCTTTAATTAGCCTTCAGAGAATGAGTAATAATTCCTGTGCAAATGCCTTCTGAAGACCAAAATCCACCTTATTATTATAAAAATGAAATATCATTGCCACTATTTCGAATTTCCTTAAAAGGAGAGTGCAAGTGATACAAGAACGACACAAGTACAATACACATACATACAACTTTATATAGTTATAAAGTGAAAGATTTTTCCTTGTGTCAAGACTTCCGATTAGAATAAGCACCCATTATCTATCACAATGCTGCAACTTGGCTGCAAAGACAGTTCATTACGTAGAATCACATTTCAAATAAGCTCAAAGACATAATATAAGTTGAAGCGTTTGACTCTCAGAGCAGATAACGTACATTAGCAATGAAAGCAGAAGCTTAATGAACAGCTAGCAGCTTATCCTGCTTTAGCAATTCTGAACCATGCAACGGAAGAGAGTATTTTTCTTTGAAGAATCCGAGGGTATAATATGTTTACATAAACTCCAAATGGTGGCTTAATAAATGAGTTTTACAATTACAACCATAAAACATTACAGTTTTGATTTTTCATTTACATTCTGGTAATTGCAAGAAGTCCAACACTTGCCTTCAGAGGCTCTATTGAAGGTGATGACATTGCACACAGATCCAACTGTCAGCCCACGTAGAAGAGCTTGCCAAAACTAGGCCTAATCATGGCAAATACAACAGAGTAGCACCCAGTCCTGATGCAATACTATCAGGATGCACCTTTAATACTTCTTGAAATCAGAAAAGTAAATACAATTGCAGTACATGGGCACCACCATTCAAGGTGCTATCTCAACTACTCACAGGACGTTTAAGGAGGTTCATAATGGCTGCAGTAAGGCTTACAACCGATAAATCCCTCTCAAGTCATCTGGAACACACTGAAGACAATTCATCCGCTGAGCTCACATATATATTTAGTTTCTGTTCTTATTACCTTCTTAACTGCTACCACGATGTTCAGATGCTCTGCTTTTAACTGGGACCATTTAGAGTTTGCTAATGTCACTATCTCCTTCCTTAAAGGCACCAAGTAAATGGCGTTGTTCAACTGTATCACTTGACAAAGTGAACAGAATTTTTAGAAGCAGCATCTAAATTTACTTATGACTAACAGTTCCTACTCAGGAAAGTTGTAAGAGCTGCATACATATTTTTGAAGAATTTTCTTCCTGCTACAAACCAGCAATTAAGCTAAAACAGTTTTAAAAAGCTACAGTAGCACTAACCATTTTAAAAGAATTCAATTATTACTATAGCAAACCTTTTGGCAATGTGAGCACCTTTGTCATTGTGCTTTGAAAAAAAATTTGTTTTCAGTTGAAATGTACTTTCCATATCAAGTGCTCAATTGTTCATTGTCATGCATAGTTAATTTAACTACTCCAGTATAAGCACAAATTCATTATTTCTGATTTGCTGGCACTGTGCGCTCATTTTATGTATGTGAAAAGGTTTCCTGAAGATTCAATGCAACAGAGAAAAAGACCCTAAGAGGACACTGGAAGCCTGCTTAAAAAAACATTCTAAAACAAACATAACTTAAAATAGGATCACCAAACTCACGTATAACAAGTTAGCATCACAAAGTAATCCTGTTACCTAGTGGTGGAAAGCTAGGTGCATCTGAAATTGTACAGCTTCCAGTTTTTTAATAACTTGGAATTCTTAACCATGAGCTATTAAACGACTCTAGCTTATAAATTAGGCTTTTTTTTTCCTTCTTAACGAAAAAAATTGCTTTTCTTACATTCAATTCCATGACAAAGGGTCAGTATTTTTGCACCTGCCAGTTTTGATTCTCAAGAGAGTAACTGATAGAGAAGGAGCTGCATCATTTCCTTACGATACTAAACCTGCTGTTCCACACTCCTCCTCCAACATGGAAAAAGGCCAAGGAAACCTGCACCATAAAAGCACTACAACCTTAATTGTCAAACCCCAGCTTTCTATAGAGCCCAAACAGGACCATGCATCTCTCAGCATCTTATCAGATTGTACTTCAATTATATAAGCCAGCATTAGCTGAATTCAACCAGCATCCTCTAAGACATCTGGATAAATACACTTGCTTTGCTTTCAGCCAGAACATTAATAAATACAGGAAGAGAGAGGAACAATATGAAGACTTTAATGCCACTTACTCAAATGCAAAGAAGAGTCCGCTGGTAACCAAGATGAGAACAAGAGTCAGGTAGAAGACTCCCGTCTGCCGAGCCATCATGATCCTCCCATTGCAGAAGAATTTGTTTCTTCCAGGAAAAACCTCCCATTTTCTCTTGGGAACTGATTTCTTTTTCTTATGGGGAGACTCCATGGGAGACGAAGAGCTGTGTGTGCTGATCTGACTGTATTCACAGTCTTTCATGGGCCCACTACCACCTCCAGGAGTCATCAAGAGAGAGTAAAGTGTGGGGAGAACCCCACCGAAAAATATACACTCTCTCTATATATCTCTCTCTCTCTATACGAGCAGATAGTCTTCCAACTAAGATCACCCTCTCCACCAGCCCCAATTAAAAAACAAAAACTGGAAAGTCTGCTACCAGGCTAGCGATAGGTGTATCATGCAAACACCACTTAACTCTCGAGAAACCAAAGCTGTCATATTAGAAATGCTTGAGAGGGATCCTTCCTTCCTCCACCAGTAACAAAACCATGTAGGACAATCCTCTTGAAACCATCTTATCACAAAGGAAGCCCCCCCCAAATCTGCAAAACAGTTTGGCTGTCAGAAAAATATAGTCTTTCTTTCAAGTTTGTTTTCAAATGGGAAGGGTTTTCTTTCCCACGTACACCCCAAGAGATCTCTCCGAGGGTCAAAAGGTTGGTCAAGGCAAGCTTTAGCAACCGAGTCTCTCATTCATTGAGATTTGTTATAATCCTCCTTCGTGCAGCAGATTTCACTGCTCAAAACAGCATTCCTAAAACGTTCCCTCAAGAGACACGCGTAACAAATCATTAAAAAAAAAAAAAAAAGGAGGAAAAAAGAAAAACACGCTGCAACTCCGGCGTGCGAGAAACACTTCAAGATTTCTTCTTCCTGAAGCTGTAATTCAATGGGAA